TCCCTTTAGGAGGCCTGAAGTGAGAGCCCAGCTGCTCTGGAGGCTTTCTACAGAGAACAGAAAGTCCTGTGCGCAGTAGATGCAGCATTCTTGATTTTGGTTCCCTTCAGTGGAATTAACTCTTCTTATTGCTACTTGTGGACTGCCTGACACCCTGGAGTCCTCCTAGGTTTTCTTTAAGGAGGATGAGGTGGAGATGAGCTACGGGTGCTCTACAGCTCAACTGATGATTTGTCATGCCAGTGATAACTGCTGATTCTTCTTTCCCTTCTCAGCGATGCTTTATCCCTGTGACATGCTCAGCTTCCGCTGGCCCACGACCCGCTACAGGCTTTGAAACTGGATCCCTTGACTGGTTGTGACCCAAGGGGGTGCAATGGCTGGTGTGGCAGATAAATTTACCACTCACCTGTTTGCTTATCGCTTGCTTTGCTACTTGGAATAGAAACTGAAGATGGTCGTTTCTGAATGAAGCAGATTTCACTATTGATAAAGGAAACGGGAAGATTGGACTGCTTGTGAGTATCTGGTTTGGTTGTTTTGGAGAGTGAGAAATTGGTTTTATTAGTATCACTGGTTGCTCTTCTGTTCCTTGTAATCTGTGTACGTACAGGCGTTAGCTTCTGAGAACAGCAGGCTAAGTCCCTGGGATGTGCGAGAGGGAAAGGTTTGGTGGCTCTAGAGACATCATGCAGCTGCAGTGCCTTGCACTTGCTTGTCAGCATTTGCTCCTGACTTGGGGAGTCAAAAACTAAAGTGGGATGCTGGAGTTTCCCATAGCTCCCCGAAGTACACTCTGAGTTACAATTTTGTGGGTTTTCCCTTTTTCATTAGTTTTTAGGTCTCAAATACTCAGATACAAATGCTACAATACAGAAGTGGAAAAATTGAGGGAGGTCTAAAATACGTTTGAAGACCAATGTTAACAAATGGCATCTAAATTTCTACTGTGCACCTGTGTTCTACCTGATAATAGGCCTTGCCATTTTTTTAATAGGTGGAATAAATAACAATTTCCCTTTCCTTTCTTCCTACATTCCCTTTAACAATCATTTTCCATTCCTATTTCTCCTTCCCCCACATTGTGGCCTGGGACTGCTAACCTTTCAGTGGTGCTCAGGCACAGAGGAACAGTAGCAGTGCACTGAAGGGTGTTACTGGGATGCCTTGTTGGTTAGAAGCTGTGCTGTCACTGCATTGAAACAGCCTGCATTGGGTGCTAGAAATGAAACTCCTGGACCTAATTTTTATTTATGCTGATGCTCCAGTACTCGTTCATACTCCTTGCACAGATCATGGCTGAGAAAAATAGCTATTTTTTTTCTCACTGTCTGATGGAGCCATTTGTACTTGAATTATGAAGTGTTATCAGTCGAGCTGCATCATTCTACAACTACGGTTGCATAGCAATAAATGATGTAAAAATGTACAGAAAGGCAGAGAAACAGGACCCTGGAGTCATTCTGCAGCTAAGCCTAAATGAAAGATGTGTAGGTGTCTTAGATGTGGGGTCAATCAGGGATAAAATGATAGCTTGGGTTTTGCTTGCAGGTTTTGTTTTCTGGTCAACCCTAAGACATCTAAGCACCTTTTTCTTTCATCACATTAATCTGTACTTCAAATGACCAAAAGCCCCACTTTGCTTTGTAAATAAACAGAATCCTACCTTTGAAAACAAAAGCAGTGATGACAAAACTGTAGGTTTTAAAGATAAGAAACCGGTTTGTTACAGTGAAGTAACAACAGCGGGCCTTTGTCCATTTGAAGTAAACATTGATGTTGTTATACATGTGCTCATCACCCACATAAATCTGGGCAGAAATAAGTCTTTACATTGCAGATCGCAGCTGCCGACTGCTCCTACAATTATTACTTCTGAGGCATTCAGATTTGTAATGGTGTCGTGACTACCTTGTTCTGCTGTTGCTTGTGCCAAGACCCAAGTATATCACCAAGTAAAAGGTGATGAGACCAAAAAAAAAAAAACCCAAACAAAAAACAACCCCTCAGAAAAAAACCAACAGCTTGCACTGTTGATTAATCTTATCATTGATGTGGGTCAGGCTTGCATATCAAGCTGCTTAAGCAACTTATGTTTGAAGTGCCACCTTAAAGTAAATGTGAATAAAAGGCAGAAAATTTTAAGCCCGCGATAGCCTGAATTTGCTTTTGGATCTGTAAATAAACTAATTGATTTTATATAGATAATGTTCATCTAGAATGTTTTTTCCCCACTATCTGGTGGGAGAGGCTGTACAATGAGAAACCAATTCCTTGGACTGGACTGACTGCTCTAGCTGCTACGATACTGGAGTGCATGATCTTCTGGTTCTTTACCAGAAATTTCACTCTTAGTCCAAGAAATGTTCACAGTTATGGTTTAGGCAGGCATATACTTTGTTTGTGAAAGGTCTGTTTTAATGAATTTATTTACTCTTTTAAGTTCCATCTACCCAGAAAAAATGTCATCGATGTTCAGACAGCTTGTCAACAGGAAATATGGTCAAGGAACTGGTTTTGTTTATTTTCGTGTTAATCATATTATAGGAAATGAGTGTGTCGTTATTTGCACTTTTCTGTGAGGTGATGTCATGACCTCTTTCACTGCTGTGGTGTTTAGGTTTTTTTTATTTGTGGAATTTAAATGTGAAATTCTTATTAATCTTTCATCAGACTCATGTTGACCACAAGCCAAAGTTTGCTGAGTGATCTTTTTTGTGACATGCAAGACATACACATACACAGTGTAGTGATAGGTAGGTAAAAAAACCCCTAAATTCCATTATTGACCAAGTTTGGAGAACTCAGAATGGAGGGCCCCAAGGGTGGGTGAAGTCCTGGCTGAGGAACAGAAAGGCTTTATACTTGGGATATGTCGTCTAATCACTCTCTTTAGTTTTCTAACCGCTCCCTCTGTGTTAAAATTGTTCATACAATAGAAACAATAGTTCCCTAGGTGCTTCCTGCCCTTCAGCTCTTTGGGGTAAGGAACAGAGAGGGACTTTCCTTGGGGATGAGAGAAGGGCTTTGATCACTTGTGATCAAGGACAAACCGTCCCTGCACTGTACTGAAACAGCCCTGTGGGTGTCTTTTCAAGAAGACAAGCTCTGACAGAGGGATGCAAAATCCTCATGTTACCTTGCCTACTTTTCAGTGAGCCAGAGCAGTCAAGCTGCAGGCCAGATTTACAAGACAGCCAGCTGAGTGCGGCAGATAAAAGGCTAGTGCCCACCTGCACAGCGCATGTACATGGCTAAAATAAATCCTAGTCTGCTGTCATTGTCAACAAGTGTAATTGATTATCGTGGCCAAGGCAGTCAGGAAAGTGCCTTTTGCTTTTTGGGGGAATTTTGTTCTGTGCTGCAATGCTGATGACTCAGCCAATCAAACAAAAGCAACATTTCTGGCATTCTCTAGAGTTTTTTTGAGATTTGTTTGGGTTTTTTTCCCAAAAAAAGTTTATGCTTCACAAGTGAAGCAGTGGTTTATGTCTATTGGAGCTACTTACAGCTGTAATCGGTCATCTAGCTTTACAGAATCAATAGTCTTTGGTAGAAACTCATGAGCCACAGGGGAGGCAGGTGGTAGCAGTTTTATGTATGAACTGTAAGCACTTGGGTTTGTCCTTGGAGGAAGCAGATTTAGGGTTGGTCTTAGAGGTATTTGGGGACAGGCTTTATCCGGTTCCTAAGGCTTACAGTTCCTCACCTACAGCAAGATGATATAACTTCCCGCCATTTCCTCAGAACCTGTTGAGCTCCTTCTGCAGTAATGTGAATGCCAGGTAATAGCCGTACTCTGATTAGACAAAGAAATTTGGGCTGATTCTGTGCAATGCATGCACTAACTTCAGTTTAAACTTTACTGATAAAATAGACCACCTTTTCTCCAATTGCTGTACAAGATACCTGATGTGTCTTCCAGTGCAGTCCTAGTCATCAACCAGCACCCAACTCAAATCTTTTTTCAAAACCAGAGCTCAATGTAGAATGCTATGCCAAGGTTGTCATTAATGCAAGAAATTGAACTGTGTATTTTAGTGTTGTGCAGTTTGAAAATTGTTGCAGTCTTCACTTTCCAGAAATATCAGCTGCATCATGGACAATTAGGATTATACAGCTCAAGAGCTACATATACAACAAACAAAAGAGCTGCGTATTGAACAGCTCAAGAGCTGCCATATGCAGTAGCTAGAGATAAATGTCCTTTTCAGGCCAGAAAGCTGACAGGGGTTAGGCAAAGACTAAGAGCAGCTAATACTGCAAAATGGCTCTTTATACCTGTTGGTATAAGGAATAAGACAATTGAGTTATAGCTGAGGGCTGAAGAAGGAATGATCATCTACCACCACCAAAAGAAATTCTTATGTTTGAGAAGTTGCCCGGCCACACTCATTCTTTATGTCACCCTAGGTAATGGAAGGAAAAGGTACATATCTTATGTTCTACAGTTACTGTAAAAGGAAAAAAGTTGATTATAAGAACTTTGTGCCTCAATGGGATTTAACATTAAACAATGCCCTCTTCAAGGATGGGCAAGCAGTTCCATCTCTGCTCTGCAGGTGTGTAGTACACCATGTTTTGATGTGGATAAGTTGAATTCTTGCAGACTACAGAATCTTGGATCTTTATAGCAGGACCTCAACTGCACTAGCAATGAATTTATTTATTATAAATAAAAAACAATAAATATTTCATAACTTACTATTACAGCTTTCTAAAAATATACATCTAATTTTAACATTCTCAAAAGTTAGTTCCAAGTTATACAATTATAGACAAAAAAATTTTGTATATTTTGATAACTAACGCTTTACCCTTTAAAGTCTACATTAATACAGAAATTAATTAATGCCCAATTAACAATATCCTGCTAGAGAGAGTTTAGCAGTATTTAAACAAATAAATTGAAAATAAAACAAATAATTTACTGTTTAACAAATGGCAGTTTTCCACAGAACTAGCTCTATCCCTATTTAACAGCTAAGTTTTGGCTACCATTATGAATAGTCATGTGAGAGCTGAAGGGCCTCTGCAAAGCTTTCCTCGAGGTCATCAAGTTCCTTGGTAGCTTCCAAATCACTGTCACAAGTAATCAAGTTTAAAGTTGCCTCACATGAGGGTGAAGTCTCTGGGTCATCTTCGGCTTTCACACAAGAATGAGACTCTGTCCCAGCATCCATCATTTCAGCGACATCTTCTGAAAAGTCATCCTTGCTCGGTGTCTCCTTTGAACTTTCCCTGCATAACGGTGATTCACATTTGTTTGGATCCTTTAATGATAAGTCTGTGGTCCCAAAGACTTCACTTTTTGTAGCTTTTCTCTGACTCCGACTTTTACTGGTAAACTCGAGCTCTTCCATTGTATCAAACTCTTGCAGAGCCATTGACTCAAAGGCTTCCCAGCCTGCATGGATTTGCTCTGCACCACTGCCCGGGCTGCAGCCAAGGTCTGCTTTCAGTACATCCAACAAGTAGCGCATTTTGCTCTAAGGGATGAAGGAAGAAAGGGGTGACACTTCATCCCCACAGCACCTATCTGCCCAGAACTCAGGGCTTCATTCTGACATAAGGAAAGGGAGGTTGCTTGCAATCAAGTGACTAAATTATACAGCAAGTGTCACCAAACTGAGTTGACTGTTGTTCCTTTTTTGTGACCGTGCCTGTGAGTCCTGATCTACCATGATCCATGAGTCTGCAAATCTCATTTATGGAGAGGGATGCTCCCCACTCAGTATTCTGGTTACCTTTACCCACAAATACACCAGTGCATTTCCACTGTGCTTTGGAAACATCCCTGAAGTCACATGCAGAGAGGGAGAGTATTATAGGGGCAGTGCTTACCTCATCCAAACGGTTCTTATTTTCTTGTATATGACACTCAAACAGTTGTTCCAGAACTCTACAAATGAACAATTAAATGATTTCACAGGAAGAAAACCAACTTTTAACAAATCTACATAAATCAATGACCTTATTTTTTTATTTTCATTTCTTAACTGAATGGCTCAACTACGATTTTGACTCAGCAGAAAAGGACCTGGGGGTGTTGGTCGACAGCCAGCTGAATATGAGCTGGCAGTGTGCCCAGGTGGGCAAGAACATCAACAGCATCCTGGCCTGTATCAGAAATAGTGTGGCCAGCACGAGTAGGGAGGTGGTTGTCCCTGTACTTGGCACTGGTGAGGCCGCACCTGGAGTACTGTGTTCAGTTTTGGGCCCCTCACTACAGGAAAGACGCCGAGTTGCTGGAGCATGTACAGAGAAGGGCAACGAAGCTCGTGAGGGGCCTGGAGCACAAGTCTTATGAAGAGCGGCTGAGGGAGCTGGGGTTGTTTAGTCTGGAGAAGAGGAGGCTGAGGGGAGACCTTATCGCTCTCTACAACTACCTGAAGGGAGGTTGTAGTGAGGTGGGTGTTGGTCTCTTCTATCAAGTAACTGCTGATAGGACGAGAGGAAATGGCCTTGAGTTGCATCAGGGGAGGTTTAGGTTGGATATTAGGAAAAAATTCTTCACCAAAAGGGTTGTCAAGCATTGGAACAGGCTGCCCGGGGAAGTGGTTGAGTCACCATCCCTGGACGAATTTAAAAGATGTGTAGACATGACACTTAGGGACATGGTTTAGTGGTGGACTTGGCAGTGCTAAGTTAACAGTTGGACTCAATCGCAAAGGTCTTTTCCAGCTTAAATGATTCTATGATTCCAAGACTGTTTCAATTATGCTCTGTCACAAAGAGGGCCACCCAGAGCCAGCATCCCACTGGACAGGTGCTCAGCAGGCAGACCCAGCTTTGGGCAGCAGACGGTAACCATGGGGTGAGTTGTAGCCCAACTCTGGGTGTGTTTGGTCTGCTGGGTCTATGTGGTGGCAGAAACCAACAATCCAGTGGTGGTTCTACTGGCATGCTGAAGTATCCAAAATCTCTTAGGTGCACCACAGTGGCTGATACACACAAGTGTAAATAAAGGGAAGGAATAAAATCCAGCTTCAGAAAAAAATCCAGAGAAAAGTCCTCTGTCCTGAGAGCTCTCTTTCATTGCTTATGCAGGATGAGAAAAAATTTCAGCACAGAGGAAGTGTTCTGTGACAACTAAGGCACACAGTCACTGGAACGGACTTCCAGAAGGTCAAGTGAATTTAATCTAGCTTACATAAGAAATTATTAGGAAAAAAAATTGTATAGGAAAGGGTTTAAAGGGAAGACAACATTTCTGTAAAAAAAGAACCAGAGGGAGACTGGCTCTTGAAATTTCTCAAAGAGTAATTTTTTGATTTAGTGTATTTAGCATATCTCCTTGATTGCCTTGACATGAGAAAAAAACCCAAGAGTGCACAGAATAGAAAAACAGCTGGGAACATTATCAACCCAGAGGAAGATCAGAGTATTATGCTGAAATTAGATGCCTTGAAAATGGCATTACAAAAATGGGTTAAAATTCTGTATCAGAAATACTGCAGGGTTTTTTTGCTATAAACTGAGAGTTCTTTATCAGAAAGAACTGGTATGGAAAAGAATTTGGGAGTACTACTCAAATACATGAATTGTCTCATAACTTATTGTTTCATTATTGAAAAAAATAAATCTGATTTAGCAACTGTTGAACCCTTATCTGAAACAGTATGTAATCCTGACAACCGATGTTGAAGATTGAATTCATACTGCAACAGGAACAAGGACAGAAGGGAGATGGAGGATGTGTTGTGTGAAAGATTAGTAACTTGGTTTATTTTGCAAAACAGATGTTTCAGATTAAAATGATTTCTTCTTAGCATTATTCCACCTCGGGTTCCAGGTCAGTTACTAACAGAGGCTTTATCTCATGGAACATAGCAACAGATCAAAGTAGATGACCCACAGGTCTTTCCCAGCTCCCCTTTCTTACATAAAGCAAAAAAGAAGGGAAACAAAACAAAAGGAAGGGGTAACTATGTATCTATATATTCTTAAAGGCAAAGAAATCCATGTGTTTCTGACACAGCATTACAAATTTGAAAACAACTGTAACCTACCTGTTAGAAAATAGCCCAAGGCTAAGAATTTCATTTGTTATATCTTCAATGAAAGCTAAATATAAAAGCTCTTCTTCCCTGCAGGGAGAATAGAAAACCCAACATTAAATGTTTTAGAATAGAGACACATTACACAATGCAGTAGGTCCAGTCAGCTTTAGGGATGTGCCATTAAGAAGATTGTATAGTTCTTGGCACCAGCTGCTAGAAAAGGTGGTTCTGTCAGGACAAACTAAGCCTTTCATTCAATTTGAATATTATTATAAAAACTCTGTGTAAAATATTAGACCGTTAGAAAGGTTGCTATGGTGCTTCGTGTTTATGCTAACTCTCTGTGGTGGTATAAATTAGTACAGAGATCCTGAGTGAGGAAATGAGCAAATCTTGGGAAGTGTTCAGAACCTGCTTTGCACTCAAGAAGAAAGTGTAAAATTGCAGTTTGATGGTCTGAGTAAAGGCTTCCAAAGGAGCTTCTAGAGAATCGGACTGCAGCTGAAAACTGCTAGTCCTCAATGGAAGCTCAGAAAAATATAAGTGCTTATTTGACAGCCTCCATTCCTTTCAAACAATAACTCTTTGATGTACAAAATCCTTGTTAGTGTGAGATGTGGCTTTCACCTCCTTGATCAAATTTCTCTCTATTTTAATACCTCTTAAAGCCTTGTTGATGCCAATTGCTCTAAATGGGAGACTCTCCAGAGGTTTGGAGTTCTGTTTGGAAAACAAGAAGGAAACCCCCAAAAGAAAAGACTTCAGTGCTGTTTCTCTTTCATAGCATCTTTCTAAATATCCCAAACTATCCAATCAAGCTCTATCAAATCATCCTCTGGTCTTAATAAACAGAAAATAAAAAATGGGATACATCGTGCATGACTTTCATTATGCAAAATTTGTCATTCAGCCTGAAGACTGTCATTTTGGTTCCCTCTATAGTCAAGAAAGATAGCTACAGCTGATCTTTGATACCTATATTACATCCTTAAAGTTGGGCAAGAACAAGTCTGTCCTAAAGCACAAAGAATGAATGACTTTCCCAAGGTCACAGGATAAAGCATTGGCAGTGTTTCTGAATATAACTCAAACCTCTGCTAATTCTCGTCAAATTTCAGAGTAGAAATGTGGGAAGAATGCCCTTCAACTTGATACTTTATTTTGCCAACATTTGCTTCAGAGATTACAGATTGAAAAAGAACTGGAAACGTTTAGAGTATAGCCACTGGACAAGAAGAGAAGTCTATCTTTCTTCTGAAGTTATAATGAATTGTCTTCATTTTTAGATTCACACAGAAATTTTTAAGTATTATATAACAATTCATAGTCATGTCAATTCTACTGTAAATTCTGGACAGTTTATTCTGAGTTCTCATTTACTCTTTGAAGTTCATCAATTTTGAGGAAGAGTGTCTAGTTTAATGTTGCAAGCTAGCAGAAAAATGGCTTAAGCATACTTACTCAGCCTTGATAGTCCTCCTTGCTGAAGACTGCTGAGAATACAGCGATGTCTCTCTAATGAGCAAATCAGAGGGTAAGAAAGAGAGCAACATTCTAAAAGCCCTTTATACTACCTTGCATCTCACTTTATTTTGGAGCCATGCTGTGCCACTGTCCCACTTCCTCTTGGAAAAAACCCCACTAGAAACCCCTCAAACCCTGCTCCAGTAGCAAAATCCACTGCTTACATTGAAGCCTGAAAGACTATGTTTCAAGAGTATTATAACACCTCACTAGATGCAGTACTCTAATACCTCAAAAGACCTCAGTGTTACTTCAGATGCTATACAGACCTCCATTATCCATAAAAGTGCTTTTTTTTACTCAGAGTACAATTCTTTCCTCAGGTGAAAATGCCTTTGTATAAAAAGGCCAGAGAGCAAACCAGTGAGTCATGCATGCTACTTTGGTCAGCAATAAAGAGAATCAGCTGTGAGCCCTTGGGTTCTGGCCTGACTTCCAACACTGTTCTTATATTGTAGACAATATTCTAAATCTCAGCGTTACATTTTCAGAAAAAGATGTAGGAAATGCCTCTGGTCTGCAATTCTCGCAGATCATAGATTTAAAAGGCTGGATGTCTGGCGACCCTTTTTCCTGAAAGGAAATACCAATTGGCATACCAATCCACTATTTAGTTGTAGTATTGTATAAGAAATATATAGTCTGTAAGCTCAGATGTATGCTCGGACGTACAGAACTAACAGCTGTATTAACATGTCATCGCTCTCACTCCTGACAAAAACGCTCATATATTTCAGAGCTCTCTTTCTTAAATTGGCTTCCCAGTGGAACTTTATCATAAGAAAATAATGAATTTTGAAGTTGGGAAAGGCCATTGATGTAAAAAACCCAACCAAACAAAAGTCCTGCGAGAAGAGACTTATAAAGAGAAATGGTAGTGAAAGCTTATGGCCTAAGAAGCAGCTGTATAGAAAGCAATAAGGAATGCTTCAAATATTCCTTCCTGCTGTAAATCAGGCACCTTAGGAAGGAGCATGGAAAAGCAGCTATTCCTCTCTCAGGCTTATCCACAGTATATCGTCCATCTTCAGCCTACAACACAGAGATAAAATCTTTACTATCAGTGCAAATACACAGCAAATTTTACCATTAAAGTGAACCTAATAACCATCTGTGATTAAGCAGCCCTGCAAATTCTGTGTCTTTTCTGAGAAGCTTTGGGTAACCTGAGACATATAGCAGCAAAGGGTCATCAGCTTTGACATCCAAAATTTTAGTCAGGGGCAACAGATGTGGAACATTTCTCCCCTGACAAGTATGTCAAAGATGAATTCTCTAAAAGTTAGGGGGGGTCACTGTCACCAACAGGAGTAAAATCTGGTATGCAAAACTAGGAACCAGCACTCTAAATCACATCTCTTGAGCTGCTTGCACAAAACTGATGGAAAGTAAAGTTGTTGACTACCTGCATTTTAAATGGTAATACTCTGAAAGGGCCACTGTAAAGCTACATGACTTACTGTTGTCACTTTTACAACAGCCAAAGAAAAAGTCAGATACAACAGTTTTGAAATGAATTCAGAAGTTCTTCATGGAACTGGAGTAAAGCTTTCTGAATAATCACTTAACCTTTTCTTAATGACATCAGCTGCATATGCAGATCAATTCAGGTCGTCTCTCTTCTATTTTCAGTGAAGCTATAAATACATATTCTCTCTCACCCCTCTCCTCCAATAAATAAAGCATAATTATTTGCCTTATTAAGCTAGAGACATGGAGGGTCTGACCCTGTAGCCTTTATTCAGGAAGAAAGTCCACAGTTATTCAAGTATGTTTGACAGGGCTGTTTGTTTAAGGACTTATCTGTACAGTGGCTACAAGATACAGCACAAAGAATGAATCTAACTTCTGTCAAACTCTTCCATCCAAATATTAGTACAAATTAAGAGAAAATAACTTCAGATTTGAAATCTTAAGAAATATTTTGGGCCTTTTGCCTGCTTCCCTCTGTCTCCCAAAGATGCTGGTATTCCATTTCATCTTTAAAATTTAATAATCTTAAACCACCACACACTAAGGCAATTTCTGAAAGACCAAATAACTGGAAAACTAAGTTCAACTGTCACAAACACTTAGCAATTCAAATCAAAATGATGGATGCAAACATTTCTGTGACTATGACAAAAAAATACTAGGAGCTCATAGAATTTGAAGTGGTGTGATTATTCATTAAAGCATTCCAGATACATTCAGCAAGGCAGAAGGCAAATAGTATAAAGGAAAACTTCACCACCAGCTGGTTTGGGTGCTTCCTCAGAGGCAGGAACTCCCTGGTTCCAATTCTCCTGTTGAGGGCTTTTTGGAATATGTTCTCCAACGTAAAAATGGAGAAAAAAAAGTCCTCGAAAAAGAGGTACCACCTTCTGCTGAAAAATAATGTACCGATTATCTATGTCCTTAACAGATACAAGTGCACTTGTAAAAACTCTTGGAAAAAAAATATTAAATTTTGTAACATCATATCCTAAGATCTCTTCACATGCCTCAATATTTTTTCTCATTGTTTCCACTCATTATTCTGAAACTCTCTTTCCTCTACAGAACTAATTCATCTCACGACAATAAAGAAAAAGAAACTTAAATCAGTTGTATACTGCTATGGCAGAGATGAAGTATATACTCCAAAATGATGGTGAAGGGTGTGGTAAGAGTACTCAAATGACAGACAGATGTATTACCTTCAATGTGACCTTCTGCTGTTCAGTCATAACTTTTCTCTCAAACACTTTGTCTGCAGATGGAAAGCTACAAAATTTAGAGATGTATTAGATTTCCAAGAAGGCTACTTTCAAAATACGCAGGATAAGAATACCAGTGCCACTATGGAAATTTCCCATCAATCTGAACGGGACCTAGTAGTAAAATGTCTCAGACAGTTGAGAAAATTTCTGCCAGACTTCCATTCACATATTAAAATTAAGTTTTAGTTCATTTTGAAGGAAGACAACAGTCATACATAGGTGATCCAAATCCATTATTCAGCTGCATATTTACAGGGGATTGCTAAATTATCCAAAATAATTGTTCAGAATTGAGAATGGAGATAATACTATACATTAAAAGTGCACCAGGAAAATATATGACCCACAGCCAGAAAAATCAATAGTTGCAATATGGAGCCGAAGCTATCGTAATTCCAGTCTTATAAAATTCCTAATTTGCTCTAGGGCAAAAAGAGTTAGACATGCAGGCACTGAGGACACAAAAGAGACAAGATTTCTCATTATGAGGTAGTATTAGTGAAAACAAAACTAAATCAAAACTGTTTAAATTGCTAAGAAGGAATTCAATGCAAGAGAAGTACATTAATTTTGCATAAAGTATTTCATATAGGATACATCTGAAGGCATTTAAAAAGATAAAAAGAAAATAAGAGCTGCATTCAAGACTTAAAAAAAATATCTTTGCATGATGTATTAATTAATTGGAAAGTATGAGACAACAGCAGCAACAGTGGGCAACTACTTGCATGCTTATAGTGGTTAATTCTTTAGAAGACAGGAAGCACAGCTATACACTAGAGAGAGCAAAGAGAAGAGAGAGGGAACGACTATCCCCAGCAGATGTGAGATCCCAGTTTGGATTTAGTGGCACTTTGTATCCAATTTGTATAGATGAAACCAGTTCCTCTGAAGACAAGACAACAAAATATACCAGTGAAAAAACAGAAAAATCACATTCTGTTCTAGCTTTTGCAGAGGCATATCTAGAATAATTTCAGAGTAATTATTCTGGTTTTGTACAAATGTAAATGAGAACAAAACATGTTGCTTTTATGAAGATACTCTTATGATAACATCTAAATTCCACAGTTTCAAAATAAAGTTTTAATCTCTGTACCTGATCACATCAGTCTGCGTTTGAGCTTCCACATGCTGCTTGCAGTGATTTTTCCTTTTCCTTCGAGCAGGAGTGTAATACCTGTACTCTGACAGGAAGGATTTAGCATCTGATATTAAGGTGCGTGGAGTAAAAGGTTTTTGGCCATCAGTAAAGAATTCAGAGTGCCTGACTAGAAGATCCCCACTGCATACTTGGGAGTTGCTCCCTTGACACCTCTGCGAATGACTAATGCTCGCAAAACTATTAGTGGAGCTGCACGGAAGTCCAGAGCGTTTTCTTGGTGTACTTGATGTACTGACACTTGAATTTGAGTTAGATGCGTTAGATGCGTTCTGAGAATCTTTTCTGGCGTATTTTACTGGACTGGAGCGAACCAAGCCATGCTTGCCATAAGGAGACAGCGCTCTTGATAGGTACTGTGCCTGCTGAACACAGGGGAAGAGACCATCTTTGTCTTCTGCGTCCAAGAAACTCTAGAAAAAATTAAAACAAGATTTGGTAACTTTGCAAGTTACAACCTTTGCTCAAGTTGGTGCTCCTAGCTATTATTGTTACCGACTTCGAGGTATTTTCTATGTAAAAACTTTTCAATTTTTGTAAAATCAAACTGGTTTCAGAGCAGCCCCAGTGATAACAGCTAGTCATTGGAAATAAGAGAGTAATAAGAAAATGGTTTGCTTCAGTAGCAAAACATTGGTGCTTTGTTACAGAATATTGACAGCTACATCAAACCAAGAGTTTTAATCACTTTAGTCCAAGGGCTCAAGACATTGTTAAATGTCAAGGAATCACTGCATTGAGACAAATTATTTTATCTGGGTATGCTCTTTTTATACCACCTGGGCAAGGTAAGGTAGACATTATGCATAATTATCCTACTGACTAGTTCATAGTATGTATTCTCTGCAAGTGTGGAGTTGTTGCCTCTCCAAATCCTATTAGCTTCAAAGCGTATCACACAATGGCTATCTTTACAAGATGTGTATTCTGTAAGGGGCACCGCTTACTGATTCAACTTAGACCATACAGAAAATACTGTAATGTGGTTTAAGACACAGAATAAGAAAACTATAACTAACTGTTTATTCCCTGTGTGACCCTTTTCTTCCTGTACATGGGAGATGATCCACATCTTTCTTTGGTAGGGCTGTACAAACACAGGATGTTACCTTGTGTAATGGCATCCTGCTCCATGAGAAATGTCCTAATTGCTATGATAATACAAGCAATCATAATGTCCTCCAGCAGACACAGTCAAGTTTCTATCCTCTTCTCCTTTGGGTTTCTCAACCCAGCAGGTACATAGGCAGCTGTGAAACTTTCCCTCTAACACTACAGAAAGCCAACAGTGCAAGTAGGTAGCTTACTAGTTAAACAGGACAGATAACACGTGCTGAGTTTATAAACAGATATACTCAATTTCATGTGATGGTAGAGAAATGGTATTACTGCTTCTGCTTCTTAACTGTTCAACACATTAGAGTTTAAAAATGTACGTCAATTCTCAGAAGCAAACTCATATTCAATGTTACTTTAAAAGGATACAGTTAAATACTACTAGTTAGACAACAAACTAATAGAGACAAATCAGTACTACATGGTGGTATGGCTAAGGTAAGATGTAGGCAGTGTGTGGTTCAGACCAAAATTATGGTCAGCTAACTCACTCCTCACCAAAAGAAGCACAATATAGGTCTATTTTATATGCAGGTTGAAGTCCAGGTGTCAACTTTAGTTGGTAAGAACACCTAATTGCAGTTTTCAGTAACCATCTATTTTGTATAGAATCTAGTCAAACAAATCTCATTGATGTGGAGGACAAGCAAAACAAAATGGGAAACCTTACAACAAAAGCTCATCTATGCATCTCTTCTTTTTCTCTTTGATATCTGTAAGGTTATTTTCAAGTCTTGAGTAAGTTAAAAAGTTAGTGAAGCACTACAACAAATACTAAGAGTAGTTAATAAGAAAGAAGCCAAGTACACCAGAGACTAGTGATGACCATGAACGTAAATCTGTCATGTGGAAGGTTATGGGGAATTTTCCAACACATTCAATTTTAGAAGGGCTCTTATCAGAAACATCATTTTAATGCCAGGGATAAGAAAACAGTTGGTAACCTAAAGTCAAAATTTGAAAACTAAGTCTGTCATTGCGAAAGGTTAAAGAATGACTTATTTGGAAAGACCATGCTATTTTTTCTGCTTTCTGAAAAAAAAACTTAATGCTTAAAAATTAAACATTATTCCCAAGTTGTATTGTGACACTGTGGCAAAGACAAGTAAGACAGAAACACAACTAAATCTAAGTGACATCTTAAGCTGCCTTTTTTTTTTTTTTGTCAAATAAGAACGAGCAATTCTGTCATAGAGAGAATTTTGAAAAACTTGCAACTTCAAACATTAATACCTGGACAGGGTATGTGCATTAGTAAATGTGCTTTACAATATGTCTGAAAAGTTAGGAAGCATCTTAGCAAGACAGCTGTTGTATACGTTTTTCCTGCCTATGACACAGCCACCCACTGAATATTCGGTCAGTCAGTGAAAAGTATGTATGACATTTTACAATCTCCAAGGACAGCCATATTGCAGAATTAGAAGATTAAACCAGAAGCCTAACAGCAAACAAAGTTTTGTATAAACTAACATTTCATCCACATGTATAACTATGCAATTCAAATTCTGTTACACACAACTGTATGATGGAGAAGAGATGACTCACATTGTGTGTACTCAGGCTACCTAGCAGTACAACTCCCAGAGACAGTGCTTGCACCTAGGTCCTGCAACAGTGAGGGAGACAAGCCGAGGATAGTGTTATTCTGGAAAATCTCATTGCCATACCATGCAATCAGTATAATACAAGGCAAAATAACAGCTAAAATAAAACATCATCTGAGAAAACCCAATTCAAAACCAACAGCTAACAAACCCAAACTAATTCAGTTTTAACTAACTAGCCAGACTTTTAAAAATAATTATTTTACTTTCCTTACACACAGGCAGTTCATATGGCTCCACATCAACAGCAACTAAGTGCTGCAAGATTTAAGAGAATGTATACAATCAGAGGTGTTTCCTAAGAAAAAAATTCATTTTCTAAGGCCAATTAAGGACTAGATTTTTAACAACCCTGAAGTTTAGGTTCAGATAGGCTTACACAGAGATTAACTTGTTGATGTACCTCCATCATTTGAACAAAGAACAGGAAGATAAGAAGAGACCTGTACAGGCCATAAAGCTCTGCAGTGAAAAAAGGGAGAAAGGGAAGTTGATTTCTGTATGTATTCCATTCATCTCTATTATGCTTCTATCAAACAAGTAAAAACTATTAAGTAGAAGCGTTACATTACTGAAGTCACTGAAGGAATAGCTCCCCTATAGAAAGACTGAGAAAGAGTGGATCCAGTATGATATGACTTAAACATATGCTGTGATACGCATTTATTTATGACATACAACTCTAACTGCCAGTTGAGAAGATTCACAGATTAACCAGCAGCCCATCCTGATCTTGTAATTAATCCATGTGGAAATTATTTTGAGAGACTAACACTGAAGCATGGATTCAGTGGATTTCCAACAGTGCTTCATTGCCAGAGCACAATATAAACCTAGAAAAACCCTCAAGAACACTTCGCTTTATGAAAATAATCAGATGATTAAGATGTGGATTGAAGGCTGGATGTGTGATTTTTCCCCACCAGTAACTGAAAACAGACTGAATGCCAACAAAAGCGGCAAAATCAACTGTAAAAGAAAGTACCTGTGGGAATTCTGCAAGATAATCAATACTTGTGAGACTTTTGAATTCTACTGGGGGATATCGGAAGGGTAAAAAACCCAAACAACCAAACTTGGAAAACCTTGTACATCTGTTGAAAATTCATGACATTGTAACCTACTAATATGTAGTATTGGATAGTAATATATTACTAGTAAACTAGTAATAAATAGTATAGTATATGAACTGATGTAATTCATAGTATAGCTTGTAAATATACACAGATCTTCTATTCTATCATTCAAATTCTAAAAATGTTCTTAAAACTTCTAAGCAATATGACTCTTACTGTATAAATGCTACATTTTCTCATAACACTGCTACTGTTACTGCTTTGAATCTATGCTATTCCATTTTTTCCCTTTCAGAACCACTTAATATTTTAAATTAAAACTCAAGACGATGAATATACATTTTGTAGCATGTAGTAAATGCTATTTAGAGGAAAATTAAAAAATGCAGATAGTTTACCATCAAAATTAAGTCACAGATCACACTGCTGCATACCATCTATTTCCTTCACAATTCCACACAAGAATGTTCTCCTGTATCAGCAAGACCTATCTATGCTATTCCAGTATCCCGAAATGTCCATAGTTGCTGATGCCTAATGCAAAGAGGTATTTTTTTTTTAGTTAGCTGAGCCAAAATAAGCCCTTCTTGATGGTGTCTCATGTGAGCCAACTTTATTTTACTACTACAGCATAATTAAATGCTGAACTGATAACATGCAGTAACAATGCCAAACAAATGCCTGTGTTAGCAAGCAGTATAGTAAGGCTTACTGTGGTGGGTTGACCCTGGCTGGACGCCAGGTGCCCACCAAAGCCACTCTGTCACTCCCCTCCTCAGCTGGACAGGGGAGAGAAAATATAATGAAAGGATCATGGGTCGAGATAAGGACAGGGAGAGATCATTCACTAATTACCATCACACGCAAAACAGACTTGACTTGGGGAAATTAGTTTAATTTAGTACCAATAAAATCAGAGTAAGGTAATGAGAAATAAAAACTAAATCTTAAAAACACCTTCCCCCCACCCCTCCCTTCTTCCCGGGCTTAACTTTACTCCCGCTTTTCTCTACCTCCTCCCCTCAGTGGCACAGGGGGACAGGGAATGGGGGTTGGGGTCAGTCCATCACACGTTGTTTCTGCCTCTCCTTCCTCCTCAGGGGCCAGACTCCTCACACTCTTCCCCTGCTCCAGCATGGGGTTCCTCCCACGGGAGACAGTCCCCCACAGACTTCTCCAACATGGGTCCTTTCCGCAGGCTGCAGTCCTTCAGGCACAGCCTGCTCCAGCGTGGGTCCCCCGCGGGGTCACAAGTCCTGCCAGAAAACCTGCTCCAGCATGGGCTCCTCTCTCCACAAGTCCGCAGGTCCTGCCAGGAGCCTGCTCCAGCGCAGGCTTCCCACAGGGTCACAGCCTCCTTTGGGCACCCACGTGCTCCGGTGTGGGGTCCTCCACAGGCTGCAGGTGGAGATCTGCTCCACCGTGGACCTCCCTGGGCTGCAGGGGGACAGCCTGCCTCACTGTGGTCTTCCCCATGGGCTGCAGGGGAATCTCTACTCTGGCACCTGGAGCACCTCCTGCCCTTCCTTCTTCACTGACCTTGGGGTCTGCAGGGTTGTTCCACTCACATATTCTCCTCTCTCTGGCTGCAGTTGTACAGTGTTGAGGTTTTTT